AGCAGTCTCAGCAGATTTACGGGCCTCCGGTCACCGAAGCATGTGCAACTTCACCTTCACTCCCGGATTACCAGGGTGAGGTCTCCTGCTTTGTGGGGTCCCAGCGAAGCCTCAAGCTCTGAAACCAGGACATGGCACCAGGTATTACAGCCTTGTAGCTTCTCCGGCCCCCACTTCAATCCCAGGTGCTGTCAGAGGCTCCCAGAACCCCCAGCTTCTAGGCCAGCCCCTGTTTTTTACATAGGATTGCATCAGAGTCTGGGGTCAGTGTCATGTAGGATTTATAGGAAGTTAAGTTCTCCTTTCCGAATTGGCCACTACATTCTGCAGCCCATTCTTCACTGAGCAGTCTACTGGTGCCGGCCCTGGGGAGACAGGGAGTTGGATGTGGCATCTGCCCACAGGTGGCTCTGGGATGGAAGGAGAGCCAATACAAAAGTCTCAGACGCCGTCTTTGTAAAAGGCTCCAATCATCAGCTCTCCTAGGAGTCAGATCTAGGCGGGATTTTCCTTCCCTGCAGACAAAGAGAACTATGTGAGTGCTTCATGCTTACTTACTGCCTTGCTTCTCAGGAAACTAGTGCAAAATCAATGTTCAAGTGGTGTCTCTCTTAGCCCGGATATTTCACACATCTCCTCCCTCTACTGCATGTTTACGCATTTTTGGGGGAGGGGGTGGAGGGCCCTATTGGGCACCCACTGTATGTCTAGCAACATGCTAGATGCTGGGATGCAGGGATAAACGAGACAAGACAAGATGCTGGCTCTCCAGGAGCTCACAGTCATGTAGTAGATGCCCCAAAGCAAGCAGTTTTATAAGGTCGAGGCAAGTGCTGTAATGAAGGTGCTCTGGGTGCCAAATCAACTTCGAATTTTTATGAATCGTCCTAGACATTCCCAAACCCCAGACAGCAGAGTCAGGGGAGGTCGGGATCAATAAGGCAGGCATGATATCTGCACCTCCACAGAGGCTGCATGGAAAAGAAGCTAGTCTAAGCAAGTACACTCGTGTGCTTCATGATGTCATATATGGAATATCACTTTAAACATTTCATAGTTTACTAACAGCCTATGTGCCTCACTGACACTAGCTATTGATTATTCACGTATTTTATTACATGAGGTAGCAGGGAAGGCATTACATCTCTAATTTACAGATGAGAACTCGAAGGCCAGGGGGATGAAGTGCGAGTCACCTAGCCTGTAAGCAGAGCCGAGGCCACACTTCGTATTTGCTGACCTGGGCCAGGATGCTTTTATTTGCATTGCACCAAAGCCTCCACCACCCAGCCACAGGCAGGAGACCGCTCTGTACAACTCCTGATGGAGCGGATTCTGAGTATATCTGTGGAGCGTGTCATAAAATCAGTGATGATATGATAATGGAACAGACTCAGAGGAGCAGGGTGGAAAGGCTCCTCCTTCCCCCTAGTTTTTCTAGGAGAGGGCAGGAAGGAGCTCTGTGGGTGGGAAGAGGCCACCAGGTAGGCACCTGGGAGGCCCTTCAGTGACCTTGCCTGGCCTGATAGTCAGCTTTGGGTGGCAGGGAGAATGAAGAATGCCTCCTTGAGCTGATGCTATGAAGCAACAGGCAACACACATATACGGGCATCTGGCAGTGTGGGAAAATCAGAACCTTTTTGCAATGAAAAACACAAGTTGGAAGTTGTATTTTGCCCCTGTTCTCATATTCAAGCACCCTGGTTTCTAGGCGCTCTGTCACATCAATAGCATGTTTAAAGAACCATTGCCCTAGAATTTTCTCCTCTATACACACATATTTTTGCCATTAGAAAAAAAGGAGACTGGGCTTTGATGTGCAAAGTTTTGACAATATGAAAAAGGACCCCCCCCCAAAAAAAAACACACAACACACCACCACCAACAATAAAACACACAAAACTCTATGCAGTGCTAAAATACAAAAGCTTCACCTGGCCGACGTGGCTCAGTGGTTGAGCGTCGACCCAGGAGGTCACAGTTTGATTCCTAGTCAGGGCATATGCCCAGGTTGCAGGCTCAATTCCAAGTGTGGGGTGTGCAGGAGGCAGCTGATCAATGATTCTCTCTCATCATTGATGTTTCTATCTCTCTCTCCTTCTCTCTTCCTCTCTGAAATCAATCAAAATATATTTTTTAAAAATACAAAATTTTCAGGCCCTTCTGCCTGGTGCCTTTGCACAGTATGTGAACTGACTGGTAATCATCCTCCAGAAGTCCAGGTGTGGGATAAAGTATGCCAGTGGGACTGAGACCAAGTCCTTCCTTTCCAGCTGGGCCTTGGAAGGAGCCAGAAACTGGGTTTAGGGTTCTGGGGTCTTATTTACACCCACACCCCCTGTTTGTCCTTGATATAGTTGTGTCACCAGCATGGCCTACCAGGCTTCTAAGGCAGTAAGACCATGTGTGCGTGGGGTGGGAAGTTGGGGATTGTGGGTGATCATGTTATAATGTACCCCGCGAATCACAGAAGGACGCCTCAAGAAGTCGAATTAAAGAGTCACATTTATTGCAAATCCGGGACTCCAAGGGGGCATTTCGCTCTCCCAAATCTCAAAGTGATAAGATGGCCGCAACACCAGATTTATATAGGCAAAAGTCACAAAGGTATTGATTACATCCCAAAGCAGTTTACAAAAGCAGAATTAAGCATGTTAATTATAGTTTTGGGTCTCCAGATCACTGAGTTGACAGGAACACATTATCTGGGACCACTGAGTTGACAGAAACCTATTATCTAGAACCCTCAGGTCTTGGGACCACTGAGTTACCAGGAACACATTATCTAGAGCCATCAAGGCAATTTAGAGTAATTGTGCTGTCCTGGTTCCCAGGTACAGAAGAATGTGCTTCGATAACCAGTAAGATCACAATCAATGGGCTATTCACATTACAGTCAATGAGGCATTCAGTTGAATGGGATGATTTATATAATTCAGAAAATCAAAATAACTTTTCTATTGTTAAGCCAAACAGCAGGGTTAGAGTTAAACTACAGTTTCTACCTGAGATGATTGCTACCATACTTTAATCAAAGTCAGTGGGGGTCAACCAGACATAGGGCCTCCCATGAGTGGGTTTGTGAGATTTACTCCTGACCTGAGACTCCAGGGCTGGTGGAGGTGCAGTCGCCTGGATGGATTTCAGAATTGTAATGGTGGACAGACTCAAGTCCTCACACCATTTGGGGAAACTGCAAACATGAGAGGTCAGCCAAGCCTGGATGCAGAGGTGAGAGGATGTTATTTACTCACACAACTCTTTCCAAGGAGGGAGTAAACAGACACATTTGGCGTGGGACTGAGGGCCTGGCTGGAGGAGAGGGAAGGACCCCCTACCCAACAGCATTTTTCTCTAAATGCCCCTTGAGTTGAAACACAGTTGCCTGGTCTCCTGCAGTCTGTTCTCTGTGAGGAATGTCTTCCCTAGCTTCTCCGCTGAGCTCTACCAATTGTTTTAGGGATTAACCCTTTGCCATCCAAACTATTGCTTTATCTCTCTCCATCTCTGTCCCTCCATCTGCAACTCTGGGCTTTGGTGCACCTTTCATTAGCCTAGAAATGACGAGAGAAGTAGAATCTGCAGACCCGTTTTGCATGCACAGTGGAATCACAATCTCCGTATGGGCACGAGTGCTTTAAGAAAATAGTCTCGCTTCTTCACAAACTCAAGTAGCTTTACTTGGAATCTGTCCATCCAAAAATTTGGTCTGCAGAGTCCAAAGCCAGCTTCCCTGGAGCCTTACAAACAAGCTGGCTGGCAAGGCAGCGCCTCCTACAGTGTCTGCCTTAAGCAATAGGATCTGTGGCCCATTTGCCCCTCAGATGCAGGGTTTTCAGCATCCGTTGCCTCCTTTCACCCACACATCAGGGCACACGAAGTTCAGACCCACGAACTTCCTAAACTGCGTGCTGATGTCTCCTGTCCCTGGGGTCAGTCACAGTCACACTCCCAACTCTCCCAGTGTTTGAAACATACAAAGAATTCCCAGGAAAGCTGAGGTGGAGGGTGGCAAGGAGACTTCTGCTCCTGGGGGGCCAGGTGAGAAGGCCCAGCTGTGTTTCTGCTAATACTCTCCCCTTGCTGCCTGCTGTAATGGGGACTCTTGGTTTTGACTGGAGGTTCGTTCCTGGGCCAACTCTGAATGTAGCATGTGTGCCTGAGTGATGGATTTGATATTTACACACGCCACCCTGATAAGTGCACATGTGTTTTTAATGTTTTGGCTTTCTACACCACAAACATGTCAATGTGGATATGCCTGCACACACAGACATGCTGTCGGGCTGGGACTTGAGTAGTTTTTTTCCACTCTTTTTTTCTTTTCCTTCTTCTTCTTTTTTTTTTTTAAAAAAAAATGCCCTCCCAAAGCTAACACCTTTGCAAACAATATTTCCCACCACACTGAACAACATTTACTTAATGCCTCCCGTGTTGTTGGAGGGCCACCCTCCGGTTATCCTGCCCGGAAGAGTCCTGCATTTTAAAACCAGCAAACAGCCCCCACCACGAACCTTTCTCTGGTCTTTGGGGGAGCCCAGCTGGGCCCGCTGGGGATTTAAAAGCAGACCTCCGTGGCTTCTGCCTTCCTGAGCCCCGTTTTGTCCGGGAAACGACTTGTCTTTGAATCCCAGCTAGAGAGAACGAAACCGAAGAGGTGAGCTGCTTGTCTGGTAGGCTGTTATTTGAAATGAGGAAAAGGTGTAAAAAAAAAAAAAAAGTCTTCATTATCTCATGGATTTGCAAGTACAGTTAAATTCCTCGCTTCTCTCCGACCCGACGCCAGTTAACTACAGCGTTAAACATTCTCTTCATGCACCCTACACTTCTATTGCCCCGTCCTTTTATTTTCCCTTTTTCCTCTCTTTGTTTCCCTTCTTTTTATTTACTTATTTCTTATTTTGTGTCTTAAGGGGTGTTGACCTGTGTTGAGTTCTAGCAAACCGAACCCTGTGGCAAGTGAAGCGATTGGCTAATTGCGCGGGTGACTGACGTGCTAAATGAGTGCGGCTCGCCGCAGCCCCGAGCTGATTGGCTGCGCGGGAGGCTCAGAGGGCTTTGCAGCGGGAGCACCGGGCACTCGAGTCCTGCAGCCTCTGGAGAAGGTGCCATTATGTACTGCACCCTGGGTGCCAGGAATCCTCCAAGCCCTCTGCTAGAATAAACTTCCTGCCAGGCCGCGGTTCAGTGGTTGAGCATCAAACTATGAACCAGAAGGTCAAGGTTCTATTCCTGGTCACGCAGTGCGTGGTCATCCCGGCGGACTTGCGGCTGTGCCACAACGTGGGCTACAAGAAGATGGTGCTGCCCAACCTGCTGGAGCACGAGACCATGGCCGAGGTGAAACAGCAGGCCAGCAGCTGGGTGCCCCTGCTCAACAAGAACTGCCACATCGGCACCCAAGTCTTCCTCTGCTCGCTCTTCGCGCCCGTCTGCCTGGACCGGCCCATCTTCCCGTGCCGCTGGCTCTGCGAGGCCGTGCGGGACTCCTGCGAGCCGGTCATGCAGTTCTTCGGCTTCTACTGGCCCGAGATGCTCAAGTGTGACAAGTTCCCCGAGGGGGACGTCTGCATCGCCATGACCCCACCCAATGCCACCGAAGCCTCCAAACCTCAAGGTAAGCCCTCGCCGCTCCGATGCCCGGGGCGGCTTGGGACCCCGGGGTTCGCCCGGCTGCAGCGGAGGCTGTGGGAAAGCCCCTGCCATGGGCGACCCCGCGGCTGCCGCTCCACCCCGGAGTTCGGAGTGCTCCCCAGAGATTGCTCTTTAACTGTGCAGAATGATTTTTCACAGCTTGCAGTCCGTCCCAGGTGTTGCCTAGCGCCCCTCCCGATCCAGGTGCAAGGACCTCGGGGCTCGCCCGGCAGCGACGGCTGAGCCTCCCCGCTTCCTTAAACGGGGTCCCGCTTCTGCAGCCGCT